CACTTTGGGAAGCAGGGGTGGGCAGATCACTTGATAACACTAGTCCACAGAAGGCACATCACAAGCTACAGTGTATCTCCAAAATTAATCTTATCGTTTTCCTTGTTAACTGCTAACGGATTATTGGTATAAGCAAAGAAAGAAGTAAATTAGCATGGACTTGTTCACAGCAGCATTATTCATAGTAGCCAAAAAGCAGAAATCCCCCAAATGTCCATCAGTTGTTGACAATTGGGTAAATGAAACATGGTACAACCACACAATGGAATGTTTTTCAGTCATAAAAAGAACTGAAGCTCTGATACAACATGGATATTAAAAACAGCAAAAGAAGCCAGACATAAAAGGCCACATATTGTACACGATTCCATTTCTATGAAATGTGTAGAATAGGCAAATGCGTAGATACAAAAAATAGATCAGCGGCTGCCAGCGAGTGGGGAAGGGAGGCATAGGAGTGACTATCAATGGGCATGAGGTTTCTTTTTGGGATGATGAAAATACTCTGAAATTATATAGTGGTAATGATTGCATAATTCTCTAAGTATAGTAAAAACCACTGAATTGTACACTTTAAAAGGGTGAATTCTGTTATGTAAATTATATCTCAATAGTTTTTTTTAATTGCATGAACTGATACACTAAGAGGATACCTACACATCAACACTGTTTTCTGAGTTCCTAATGGCTACGAACTCTGGCAGCCAATCTCTTCCATTATGCTATCTCCAGAGGAACATTAGAATGCTTCTGTATTTGCTGAGCACTGAGGCAGGAGAGGAAGAGAGGAGCTGTATTTATTTATTTTTTGTTGTTGAGACGGAGTCTTGCTCTGTTGCCCAGGCTGGGGTGCTGTGGCTGGATCTCAGCTCACTGCAAGCTCTGCCTCCCAGGTTTACGCCATTCTCCTGCCTCAGCCTCCCAAGTAGCTGGGACTACAGGCGCCCGCCACCTCGCCCGGCTACTTTTTTGTATTTTTTTAGTAGAGACAGGGTTTCACTGTGTTCGCCAGGATGGTCTCGATCTCCTGACCTCGTGATCCGCCCGTCATGGCCTCCCAAAGTGCTGGGATTACAGGCTTGAGCCACTGCGCCCGGCCTAGGAGCTGTAACACAGAGGAAGGAGGATGTGGAGGGAAGCCACTGGCATGGAGCACTTCGTATGAACAAGCGCTTCAGGCTACTGCTACCAATAAGTATAGGCCCTGCCTTTAAGAAATACGAAGCTCAAAAGGCTTTCATAAATTATCATATCCTTGTTGCCACAGCAATACACCATCAAAACAGAAGGCAGATGCTAATATACCACTACTCAAACATCACTCAAAACCTGTCACTAGCACTCCAAAATTACACCATCGGCCTTTTAAAAGGGCTTTATTCAGTAATCATAAAAATACTTTTATATTTTACAAGTAAAAATGCAAAAAGTATGGCTGGGGGCAGTGGCTCACGCCTGTAATCTCATCACTTTGGGAAGCAGGGGTGGGCAGATCACTTGAGGTCAGGAGTTTGAGACCAGCCTGGCTAACATGGTAAAACCCTATCTCTCCAAACAATACAAAAATTAGCTGGGCGTGGTGGCTGGCGCCTGTAGTACCACCTACTAGGAAGGCTGAGGCGGGAGAATCGTTTGAACCCAGGAGGTAGAGGTTGCAGTGAGCGTGAGCCAAAATACACCACTGCACTCCAGCCTCGGCAACAGAGCGAGACTCCGTCTCCAAAAATAAAACAAAACAAAACTCAAAAAGTAGAAAGAAATTTAATTTTCCTATTATCTCATAAACCAGAGTAATCAACATTTACATCATGGAGTACTTTCAACCAA